ACACTGATCCTTACGTGCAAGACACAGATCGAAGCGCAGCGGGAAGAGCAAGTACGCAGGCTCTGTGTCGGCGTGATATCGCTCAGACCCGGTTGCTTAGTTCTCAGACTTCGTCGTTTCTCTCTCCGAGGCTTGCTGAGAGAGGAGAAACGGGAGAGCGGGGCTACCTTCAGTGAAAGATGGTCCGCGAGTGCAACGGGGAGAGAGAGCACGCAGGCACAGAACCGGCATGAGATCAATCAACCCGGTTGCTTATTCCCTGACTCCGCTGTTTCCCTCTCCGAGGCTCGCTGAGAGAGGAGAAACGGGAGAGTCGTCGCTGAAGGAGAAGAAATCTGAGAATCCTGTGGCGAACGCCCGCTTATATCGCCAGATGCCCCGTCCATTCTGGCGGGCTTTGGTAGGCTTGGCGGGCTTCATCGCCATAGGCTCATGCAGCCCCGCTGCCTAGCCATTGATTCGTTTTTTAATACACTGCACGAACCAATGGCCGTGCAGTTTCACTGTGTGAATGAAAAGGCTTCAGTTCAGGAGAAAAAAGGCATTTTCCCCATATGCATCTAGCAAGACGCAGTACGACTGTAGTATCGAAAGGGAACTCCGGTTTCGCTGTCTACACAATAACACTAGGCTATCGCATGTGAGGATCCTGCAGGTGGCCGATCGTTTATAGCCTTTTCTCACAGCAGCCAGAATAATTAAATGTATCATTTTGATGGCGGATTGTAATCCATAAAGGATTATGTTTATGAAACAGGTGAATGAAATGATATATAATATATATAATATATTCCAGTTATAAATGTGCTTCTGATTACAGATAGCCTGGGATTACAAAGATTTGTATTTGAAAGAAAACCAGTTCGAAAGGGAGCATAATCTGCTTTTTGGGTTAAAATAATTTCTTAATATGAAATTCGAAGAGTATGGCAATTAGATTAGACTGTGCAGAAATTGAAATCTACACGCTAATACACACTATACTCATAGTCACCAATGCTGATGTTGTTAACATTAATCATTTGAGAATAAAGTATAACAATAATAATAATTTGAACGGTTTGATGTGATATGAGCTAA